CCGCCCCGCGGGGACGTGCGGCTTCGGCGGACCCGGGCTCGCGACACCGGGGCGCACCCCCCGCCCGGGCCCGGAGCATCTCGTGTCCCACGCCGAGCCGGGTGGGGTGGGTGGGGAGACTGGCTACAGGGCAACAGCGAAGCACGGCCCGGACGGGGACACCTCGAGTTTTGCTCAAAAATGATTGTTTTAGGGGGTGGCGCTTATTAGCCACCGTTTGCCCTAATTTAAAGGCTGTGACAGGGCTTCTGAGCTCTGCCTTAGGGCATTTTCTGCCCTCAGAGACACACTGTGAGTGCAGCTGAGTTCTTTATGCTCAGATTTGTGTATCTTGGCATTTTTAATGGTTGATGTCAGAGGTGATAAATGACCGTGGTAATGGGGAGCCACCGAAGCACCTGCTGGGCTGACAGTTGTGGAGGTTGTGTCTGAGGGTGGGACGGGAGAAACGAAACACAGCCTCTGGATATTCTGCTGAAGTTATCATGTTTATGTTTAAGTATAGCTGCTCTGGAGCAAGTTGATAAATCCAATTTTAGGACTTGGTGATAGAAGAGGTTTGAGTGGCAAGCCGACCCGGGGTGACCTGGTTTGGCCAGGAATGTTTGGGGTAGCCCAGGTATCTCTTACCATTTCTCTTTGGCATATTTATTTTCTTCTGTCGCAAATGTCCAAGTGCGATCTCAGAATAGGAGAAAAGCTAGAGGACAGCATTTAGTACAGGCCCGAGCCCAAGATTGATGTTTTCAAATAAACAAATGTGTGGCTAGGAAAAGGAAAAATATTCTTATCTGCAGGGTTGGTAGTTTGAGAGAACTTGGTCTGTGGTTGAGAACTATCAGTCCTTACTAATATTTCATTTTATGTAATACAGTAGATATTAAGGATTGAGTGATGAGGACTGCCATAGATGCTCATTCCTAAGATTTGTATGATTGAAATTTTCATAAATCATATTTTACCCAAAGCATTCCTACATAAAGGAATCCTAGGGTGAATCCTTCTTTGGATCCCTCAGTGTGTCTTGAATTTTGATATTTAGAGTCTATTTAAAACGGAACACACATATTTATTTGGATTTTGCTTTACCTTAGAGATAATCCTGAGTCATGCTTTAGAGAAGTTCCTTCTGTGATCAAGAGCTCAGATGTCTGGTGGTCTCTATACAAGCTGGCTGCTCCTCTTTACCTGTAATTCTGCCTTGTGGAGGTCTGGAGAAAGGAGGACCTGGGGAGATTGGAAGCAAATTAAGAGGCTTTTCTTCCATATTTGTCTTGTTTCCATGCCAGGGCTCTAAATTACTTGTGTTCACACTTTCAAGTTTCTCAATTTACCACAGAAATTTTGTTTATGCTACTGCCATTAGTATTTTCACGTTTGTTTAATACTTCCCAGTTTATAAATGCTTTTCTATTCATGATCTTGTTTATTTTTTCCTTTTCTGCAAAGAAGCTGGGCTTAAAGAGAGATTTCCTCAGGGTCTCATAATTAGTAAAAGAATGGAAGGGGGATACAGATCCTCACGAGTAACCAGTTCTCTTTTCCTCTGCACTGGCCTGCATGTGACTTCAGAACCCTAGTCCTGATCTGTTGTTACCCTGTAGGTTGGTTGTTGCCTTTGTGTTATGCCTAAATGGTATCATTATTTTGGGGAAGGTGGTATTATCCTATTTTATTTTGTAGAAACTGAGGGTAAGAGGAATCTTCTGATTTTGCGACTATTTGTGACAGCTCTTTAGCATTAAGGTCATTTTTTCGATCTAGACCTCCTTTCCTCTAGACTACATGGAGAGAGGAGAGAGAAAAAAATAATTTTAGTGAAAAACAATCTATTTCTGCGTTGGTATGGTTAAGGATACCCTAACACCATAATCATGTTCTCCTTGTGTGCCTGGCTACTAGTGTCAGCCTATATGTGAATGTTAACCCAAAAGATCCCTTTAGATGTCGCTGAACTAGTTACTATAAAAAGTATTTCATTTTCAAACTCCCATGTTTCAAGAACTGAGGAATTCCGTACAATAGGTCATTTTGAAGGTATGTATAGATGGAATTTATTGAGTCTTCTTTTCTGAATGCCAGACACAAAGATTTCAGGAGAACGGCATTTTACAAGGGCTACCTGGAAACTTTGGGAAGGCAATAGTTACAGGTTTTTATTATTTATCCGAGTTTGGAGGTGTGTATTCTGATGGTTAAGCTGTTACATAGGAGTAGGACTTTTGCCTGGGAGAATGCTTAGTTTTAGTCTGTAGCAGAAATGGCAAATCCAGAATATTTATGTAGAATTAGCTAATCATAACCAAAAGCTTGATTGTAGCTCTGCAGTGATGAGAATGGCCCCGGGTTCTTAGGTTATTCTTTAAGTTATTAACTTGTTGGGTTGTGCATTTTTCAGATTTGCTACTTTAGAAAATTGTTAGCAATTTCTTTTAAGGCTTTTACAAATTCTTTAGTATGGGTTTTCCTTAGCTTAATTATCTGCTAACATTACACTGTCAGAATTTACACATTAGTCATAATTAAACCTTTGAAGCTTAAGTGTGGGTGAATCTTCAGTACTGCTTTATATTCTTTGGGAATGGTCAGCCACTTGTTTCCACAAGAATTTTATTTGCACCAAAGGTCAGATATTTTCAGGTAGGACTGATTTTCAAGGGCTGGAAGCCTTTCTTTGAACTTTGTAATTGTTTGTGCTTGGTTGCATTCACTGCTGTTTAAAATGATCTTTAGTAAGGAGAGTCACTTTAAAGAAAAAAGTTTTTCATGTTACCCTCATAATCTCTATTCCTGGCAAATTTTCTGGGATATTAGATTTTTCTTTGTCTTCATTTTAGACCCATTTGATGCCCATTTTAAGATCTTCCTTCTGCTGCCTATCTTGTGGTCATTTAACTTCTCATTAAGCCCTCCACTAGAGACTGTTCCAGAAGAGAGAGAAGATGAAAAGCAAATGAATCATTTTCTAATTGTTAGCAGCTCTGAAAAATGATTTAGTAGGAGAGATTGACACTATCCCAGAAATTCTTTTGGATTATGTTTTATTTCATTCATCTGTATTGTCTCTGAGATGTTCCTAATAGTCATCAATTTAGAGGCTGATTATCCAGCTATTGGATGGCCAGGAATCTAACTGCTTTTTTGTTTCTTGCTGTATCTAAGCATTAAGCATCTCCACAGAGGATGTTTAGAAGTAAGGAGTAGGGATAAAATTTAAACTGATCAATACTATTTTTTCCGCCTTAGAGCTCTTTAGTGAACAATTTGATTTTTTTTTGGACAGTTTAGTCATTGTTATTGGAAGTGACTGACTAATCGTAACTTCATTTTATTATTAATATCTGTATCTTCTACACAAATGTAGGGAGGCTTTTGGGTGCTTTTTAAGAAACATGGGCTCATATAGATTCCCATAATTGCTTTCTTGAATTATTAAGCTTGAGGTTTCTTTACATCTTTGTATCCGAACAGAACCTGGGCTTTTGCTGTGGAACAGATTCAAAGGCATCATCTAATTTTCTTTTTATGATTGTTCAAGAAGTTAGTTTGTTTTGGTTTAGCAGTAAAAAAGGGGTAAAAAGGATTAATAGTGGACAGACCTTGCGTAACAGCTGTAACATTGATGATGTCTGGTTTTTTCCTTTGTCTTTGGTCTCCCATTTCTCATTTAATCATTCCGATATTCATGGATTGGAGTTCTTAACTTAAGACAGAGGACACCAGCCTTCAGTCACCCTAGTGAGTAGGGTCTTGCTATTTTGCCTCAGGGGAATTTTTACAAACCCATTGTGACTGCTCACTTAGACTGAGTTACTATTAAATTTGTAAATAAAATCCACCTGCTGGGGGGTCTCAAGTCAATCCTTTCAGTTTCTTATTTCTTGGATTCTGTTCTTTGAGTTTCCACCCAAAGAGGGGATTTATAGAAAGATCTAGACTAGGAGTCACAAAATCCAAGTTCTTAATCAGTCACTTTCTAGCTGTAGGAACTTGAGCAAGTCGTTTAATCTGCTGTTTCTCTATTTTGTATCTCTAAAATGGGGACAGTAATTCATGCATTGCTTATTGCATCAGGAATATTGTGGGAGAAAAAGGCCCATCTTTTTTTATTTAAATTGTTTCTTCATTTTGGAATCCCTCCTCTCAGGTTGTCCAAATATTCCTGCAGAGTTCTCCTGAGCGAGCTTTTTCTTGCTTTTTCTTCCCAAAGGCCTCTGCTAGTCCATGCATTATGTAGCACTATTCTGTACAGTTGTTGCATGTTGCCTTTCTTCGCAGATAGAAAGCTCCATGAGGGCAAGGATTGTATCTTTCCTATTTCTGTGTCTCCACATTGCACATCGCACCCGCCACACACACCAAGTTGACGTATAATAAATGTTGGTTGAATTATTTTTGAGGCTGTCAGGAATGAAAACTTTGGGTGATAGGAAGATGCCAAAGATGAGCCTAGTATCAGAACTTTTGGATGACTGGCCTTTTAAATCAGTCAGTTATTTGTCTGTCTGTTGTATCAGTAACTGAATCAGATGCTCATAATATAAATTGGTAAAGCCTGTTTTCTTGGTTCTGTTTACCTCAAATACTGAGAAGCAAGTCAGAGGAATGAAAGGTTGTCACAACCCCCCTGAATTTGACATTTGTTCTGTTTCTCACCCTATAGCATATGGGGGTCTATCTATATCCAACTGCTGAGTATGAAGAATTAAACCTGACTGCACGTTGTCTGGTCCACATTTTAGCTTGTTTTCTTTGAAGAATGTGCAAGGTGGAAAAATAGATGCTTCAGGCTCTGATTTCAGCCCATGCTGTGCTATGCAAATGTTCTCGACATGCCTGAGTGACCTTTTTGAGAAAGAGCCTTTGTGATCTTCTGTAGCCAGGGCCTGTTCTGGGAATAGTGTGCCAGATTTCTCTAAAAGTGGGAAAAGTGAATCTGTTCAAAGACCATATAAAAAAGCCAGTGCTTTTCCTGGATAAATACCGATAAGTTCATGTTTCTTACTGTCTCTTGCCAGAGCTTTTGAAATTTGCTCTGCAGTTTGCCTTGCCGGTTGATTTGGAGAATGATACGTGTGAGACGGGACTGACTAAAGCATTTCTGTAGCTGGGAAAGTGTTTAAGTGCTTTTGAATTGTAGATAAAAGTAAATTCAAACTGGCATCATTAGTATCTGGGTGTTTATCAGTGTCTTCAGGCTGGTTCTCCATAAGTGCCGGCTGAGTGACTTGCAACCAGATTTGTAAGGTTGTCCCAAATTGTGCTCTGATGATTTGGCATTTAAATTGTTTTCTATTTGTTTTGATTATTGTACAAAATGAAATATATCATTATTAAAAGTATAATTAGTGCTTTTTTTATGTTATAAAAGAAATACCGTTCTGATGTATTTCTCTTGGAAAGTGATACTGGTGTCTTGGAGGTTTATGGCTTCTGATGCTTTTCCTGAGATGTTTAGTTTCTATAGCTGAAATGGATAAAAAAGAGTTTTCCCTCTCTCCCTTCCCTTAAACCACCTTTTTGATAAGGATTATAACAGGTTTGCACCAGGATAGGGTTGTACAGTTAATCATAATGTTCTCCTGTAGAAATTGTAAAAATTGAATTTTCAGAGAGGGTAGGTAGAATTTGAATGACTGGTTTACTTACTAGGCTCTTCTTCCTTCCCTAAGCATAGGATAATTTTTTCTCTGAAGATTGTCAGTCTCTTAGGTATGTGTGGACGGTTCTAGAGGAATGCTTTCTTCTCCACATCTTTGCCCTGTAGCCCGTTTTGGCTAAGCAAAGATGAGTAGCTGTCTGTTTTGTTGGTTGGGAAAATCCTTGTCTGTTTTCGTAGTTACATGCAATGTTACATATCTTTTTCTTCTCCCCAAGTTTCCCTGGACCCTGGGCTCCCGAGACAGCAGCGCTGGAGCAGATGGATAATGGAGACTGGGGCTATATGGTGAGATGCTTTTGCAGATGCATTTTGAAGGCTGGCAAATAATTTGTGTGTGTCTTTTCCCGCTTCTTCTGTATTCTTAGGTATAATATGTCTTATAAGAATGAAAATTATAGATTAGTACATCATCCTACCCGCTTAATTAGTTTATTTTTTGGGTCTAGTGTGGTGTTTTTATGTAAGCAAAGTCAGTATGAACTAAGTAACTTGTTATAATCACTTACTTGAGAGCATAATATTTTTTTAGTCTTTAAAGTATGTTGCTCTTAAAACTTATAGAGTAGTGACTATTAAAATGGTCTTGTAGGTGATGGTACAGAGGATATTTTCTTGTGTTAGGGAGGTTAAAGGGTTGAGAAGCCGCCACTTCTCCCATCTGTACTTTTTGAGTGTGCATGTCTTCTTATTTTCCTTTTCCTTTGGTGGGAAATATTTCACTTGTTTAGTACCAGAAGTCTCTCTGTCTTTTTTTTTTTTTTTCTTACATATAACCTCTAAAAGGGAAGGTATATTTATGGTGTATTATTTAGAGAAGCTTGCTTTTCAAAATTAAAGGCCAGATTGCAACATTATTAAAAAAGTGAATACATGATCGGATTATAAAATTTGAAAGCTGCTGTTAGCCTTTGGGTATATAAGATTGTGTTGACTATCTATGTATTCTAATTTAGTATTTGGCACTGCTATTTCCATGGAGAAGTTATAAAGATTAGGTCTGCACAAATTTTTATTTTTAAAATAAATTTCACGATTTGTTCCCCTTTTTGAGTGGGAAAAACAAAAGTGTTGAAAGTAGATATCTTTATACTATCAAATCATTTTTATTCTATTTTGTGTTAAATTGAGTTAAGAAAAAAGAAGGTCTCTCTTTTTTTAATCAGAAAAAACTTATGTGAGTATATTTTAGCTTGGCTTTTCTCTTCAATAGTGTACTCTGACCTAAAAACTTCTCTGTAGATACTGGGCCTGAAATTAAGTGGCTTTGGAAGTCATGCTCTCCTTTTTTAGTGTAAGGCTTTAATGAAGTAGATTTATCCTTTTCTTATTGAAAGAAAATGTTAGATCCCTTCATCTGGGTAGGTTTATCATTGACAGTAAAGCTATTTTACATTATAGGATTGCTAAATACATTATAGCCTGAAGGAATCTTTTGCCTTGCTTGTTGTTACCATTAATTTTCTTAATTTGTCAAAGTTAGGATTTAAGAAATTTCAGATGACTTACCATTTTTTAAAAATTTCAGATGACTGACCCAGTCACGTTAAATGTAGGTGGACACTTGTATACAACGTCTCTTACCACATTGACGCGTTACCCGGATTCCATGCTTGGAGCTATGTTTGGGGGGGACTTCCCCACAGCTCGAGACCCTCAAGGCAATTACTTCATTGATCGAGATGGACCTCTTTTCCGATATGTCCTCAACTTCTTAAGAACTTCAGAGTTGACCTTACCCCTGGATTTTAAGGAATTTGATCTGCTTCGGAAAGAAGCAGATTTTTATCAGATTGAGCCCTTGATTCAATGTCTCAATGACCCTAAGCCTCTGTATCCTATGGATACTTTTGAAGAAGTTGTGGAATTATCTAGTACTCGGAAGCTTTCTAAGTACTCCAATCCAGTAGCTGTCATCATAACCCAATTAACCATCACCACCAAAGTCCATTCCTTACTAGAAGGTATCTCAAACTATTTCACGAAGTGGAATAAGCACATGATGGACACCAGAGATTGCCAGGTTTCCTTTACTTTCGGACCCTGTGATTATCACCAGGAAGTTTCTCTCCGGGTCCACCTGATGGAATACATTACAAAACAAGGTTTCACGATCCGCAACACCCGAGTGCATCACATGAGCGAGCGGGCCAACGAGAACACAGTGGAGCACAACTGGACTTTCTGTAGGCTGGCTCGGAAGACCGATGACTGATCTCGAAGCCTGGGAGAAGTTCCTGGAAACTGACTCTCCAGGACATGGAAGAGACTTTTTTTTTTTTTTAAATCACAGTGTGGGGTTTTTTTTTTTTTTTTTTTAATATTTGTATTTATTCAAAGGCATTGACGACCAGAAGGAAGTTTTGTGCTTTAGCAGACTCCTCTATGTTTTGTTCCCTTTACCTTGAGTATGCATGTGCCTGTTCGGAGCCTCCAGATACCTTTTTTATAAAAAGAAGTATAAAAATCATTATGGTATATAATCTCTTAACAGAGCTTTTTTTATTACAGTGCTACAATGATTTCTGATTAAATGGTCCCTAACTCAACTAGAAGGCTAAAAATGCAGGAATGAAAGAATAAACAGAGTACTCATGATGCCTTTGAGAAAAACCAAAACATCATGTAAGGTGACCTAGTTTCCAAACCAATAAGCAGTATTGTAATATTAAAGGAAAACTGTTCCAATCATTTAAAAGTACTTGTTAAGTACTGCTTTTTACAGTTATGACAACTGTTTCTTTCTATGCATATAAATCAAGCAACCAAATATCTGTAGCCATGGAAATGTCTGACTAGAAATATTTATATTGGATTCTGAATACAAAATGTCCCTGTGGTAGAACTCTTACTTCTTATGCCTGGTGCAGTATGATTCCCAAGTGTACTGTCTACCAGAAGAAAAAAAAAAACTAATAAAAAATGAAATATGAAAATTAGGTTTGTGTTTGTTGATTATTATTACTTAAAGGGGAAATCATATTTCTTGCCTCAAGTGTGCATTGTTCGGTTTATGTCCCCGTGTATACTGCCTGTCGCACCTTTGTATTTGACTCAAGAGGACTCAGTAGAACCTTAGGATGCAGTTTATAGAATCTCCTGTGTTGCTGGAAGCAGGAATGGATGGAATTAATTGTTTTGTCTAAAAGAGTGCATATTTGAACAGTGAACATAGAGTTTGATACATTTTTTCAAATAGGGCTTAAGATTACAGATATTTTCTCAGTAAGCCACCAGTTGTCAGCACTGAATATGACCCTTACTCTAGCTTTGTACTGAGCACAGGGACAAACTGCCTCTTCAGCCACTTTTTTCCTCACAATATTATGGTGGCCCACAAATATATTTTATTATTACAGTTAAGTCTGTTCCTGAGGAGAAAAACTAAACTGCAGTGAGTGAAGGCTCTGGAACAGGAGATGTGTATATACTTTACTTCACTGTGGTCTTATTTTGGATAGTTGATTTGATTCTCTTTCTTGGAAGTTACAGGAAGGATTATGTTAGCTATAGTGAGACTAGTTTGCTAGAACACCGTATAAAAGGAAGTCATGTAATTTCTTCCCTGTTTTCTAAGGGAAGAGTAGAGTTCGGAGGCTGTGTGCCCTTGGGTGGGTCACTCCTTTTCTCCTCTTCATGAGAAGATTCTGAGATTCTCTCTCTGAAAGGAGGATGAGAACACTTACCTACATCCATTTTTGCCCATGTCTCTGAAAATTTATTTGAAGATGTGACAAGTGACCAACATCTAGAAACCTATAATTACCCCGTTTTCACCATCTTCAACTAAACCGTCTTCAGCCGTCTTCAAACTAAAACCCCTTCATGCTATTGGCAGGTTGCCTTGGTTTCAGTAAACGTGCTAGTGTGAGGTTATCTTTTTAGAAAATTGTCTCATACTTAAAATTGATTAGAGGTTATCCCCCCCCCAAAAAAAACTATCCAGCCACTTATGTGTTGTTGAGTTGGCAGAGGTAGATGCAAGACAGAGTGATTTGGGTTGAAAATTGATGTGGAAATGGGAGTAATACTTCTAGCATTTTAAAAGGTAAAATCTTATGGGGTCTCTTCCTTGCCCAGTTTACTGGAGAGAAGTTTGTTTTGGCAAATTTTCTCAGATTTATTAATTATTAACAACTAAGGAGCCCCTGGGTGGCTCAGTTGGTTGTTGAGCATCCGACTCTTGATCTCAGCTCAGGTCTTGATCTCAGGGTCGTAAGTTTGAGCCCTGCATTGGGTTCCATGCTGGGTGTGGAGCCTACTTAAAAAAAAAAAGAAAGAAAAAATTATTAACAACTAAATGGTTATTTTTATGAGTAAATTAGGAAAAGTAGCCAGCTGAGATTTTTTGCAATTTAATTTGTCTGGTGGAATTTAATTTTGAGTGTTTTATTCCCTTGCACAATATGAAAAATGTAGTTTGATTATATTTGGGTAATTTGAGACAATTATGCCTTTTTAAGAAAATTTTAAATCATTTTCACTGTGAAATAGTTGATTTTCAAAAATTGATACTCAGTGGTATTCTCAGGGCCCTACATTTTATTTAGATTACTCCAAGTACAGACACTTTTGGAGGAGAATTGTGTATGTCCTTTTAAACCCTTGGCTAAATGTGTGCTAAATTAGACGTAAGTGATAACTGATGAGTCTATTGACTTTAGATCTAAAGTAAAACTCTTTAGTTTTACTAAATAGATGCTACAAATGGATAGCACTACTGTTTTGTATTGTGGGAAATTTTAAACATATTCAGAAGTAGAATAGTGCAAACACTCATGGGCCCATTGACCAACTGTCTTTAGTTGTTCGCTCTCCCTTTTTCATTTCACGGATTATCTTGAAGTAAATCACAGATGTTTCATCCATCCATCCATCCATCCATCCATCCATCCATCCATCCATCCATCCAGATAATGACACTCTTTAAAAAGTATATACTTTAAGGGGTGCCTGGCTGGCTGAGTCGGTAGAGTATGCGACTCTTGATCTTGGGATCATGAGTTCAAGCCCCACGTTGGGTATAGAGCTTACTTTATTGTTTTTTTTTTAAGATTTTATTTATTCATTAGAGAGCACGAGTCGGGGGCAGAGGGAGAGGGAGAAGCAGACTCCCTGCTGAGCTGGGAGCCCAATGCAGGACTCCATCCCAGAACCCCAGCACCCCGGGATCATGACCTGAGCCGAAAGCAGACGCTTATCTGACTGAGCCAGCCAGGCGCCCCTACAGCTTACTTTAAAAACAACCATACACACACACACACACACACACATATTTATACACATACACACACACTTTGAAATATATGAAGTGTATATGAAGCATACTTTAAAGTTTAATGCCATAGTACCATTATCACATGGTGGTGTCTCTTGAATGCTGTTGATTACTTCACAGCTTGGATCTCCAACTTTGTAATAGTGGTCTTAAGTATTTCTCATAGGCAGGGTTCCCCTATTTGTAGAAAAAAGTGCATTGTTAAGATAATATTTCTGCCAGCATTAATGACCTTTACCTTCAAATTAAGTTTTTAGTTTTAAAAAAGTAACATTACATACGATTCTTAATTTTAAAAATTATTTTTTAAATCCATTTGTCTGAACATATGGAGAAACATTTTTTCCAAAGGGCATCCTTCCTTTTCTCATGCAGATTTTAAATTGTGGATTCTGGTGGCCAGTTAAGAAACAGCTTATCATTTGCTTTTGGAATTTAATACAAATAAAATGCTTGACTTTTTTGAGGTTCTTTGAAATTGAACATTAACCACAAAGCAAGGAACCAGAGGGTGGAGTAAGGTAAGCAAGATTCTGTGTCAGAGTAGGTTATTTCCCATTGTTCATTAATGTATATCTTGATTCTTTCCTTCACAGCTCTAGCCTCATCTTTTAATATTTACTTGTTTATTTACTTTTTTGCCTGTCTAGGCTAAAACTTTAAGCTCCCCATTGAAGACAGGGTCTGCGACTCTTTTTTTTCTCCACTGTAGCCTTAGTACCTAGAATAGTTTCTGGCATATAGCATATGCTCAATAAATATTTTTTGAATGACTGAATGAATGAATCAGTAGGTATGTTTAATGCATCTAGCAACTACTTGGACAAATTTTTACAGTAGAATAATTGGGGGAAATAGGATTCTTGTTTTGAAATTATCCCCAGTGGTTCCTGCACTGCTTGCATCTATAGGGAATCACGTAAATATGAATTCACATGGGGAGCAGAAACAGCCTTTTGCAATTCACTTTGGAGAATCTGGCTTGAAATAGCATCCAGCTCAGGAAAAAAGCCAAAAAACACACCATGGCTAGAGTAAACTATGAGAGAGCACATCATCCTATCTAGGGATAAAGCTCAACACTCACCTGCCCCAGACAGAAGAGAGACTGCCTTATGATTCTAAGACATTTAACAGCATTGCACTTTTCTCTTGGTAGAAAATGTCAGTGAAATATATTCCCGTTTGTAATTTTGTGTCTCCAAGGCATGTTTTAACGTAGCTGTTGTTTTAATTTATTTGAAATACCTACCGTGTGCCTTCTTCTACTAGTGCAAATGAGTGAAAAAATGTCTCTTACTGCAGCTTCAAGATTATAGCAGATTAGAAATACATACCTTGGGGCGCCTGGGTGGCTCAGTCGGTTAAGCATCTGCCTTTGGCTTAGGTCATGATCCCAGGATCCTGGGATCGAGCCCCGCATCGGGCTCCCTGCTCAGCGGGAAGCCTGCTTCTCCCTCTCCCACTCCCCCTGCTTGTG